TACCTCACAGCCCATCCTTTCTCTCAGCCCAGTTCTGCTTCCTTACTTTCCCACAGAATTGTTCTTAGGGAGCGTCCCAATAAACCTGCATAAGAACTTCTGTTCCAGAGTCATTTCCTGGCGAACCTGGCCTCAGACATCCATTTGCAAATGAACATGACCAAGTTCTGCCTTAGCATTAGAAAATCTTATTTTTTTAATGTTATGTAAATATTTATATAGGAATATGTAGTACATGTCAGCAACAACCTATTTTTAAATTTTACTTGGCAATAACAATACATATTTATGAGGTACAGTGTATTATTTCAGTACATGTATAGAATGTATAATGACCAAATCAGGGTAATTATCACATTAATGGCCTCAAATATTTATCATTTGTTGGGATCATTCGGAACCCTTTCTTCTAGCTCTTTCTTCTAGCTGTTTTGAAACACACTATAAAAATACACTCTAATATTTTTGTGCATATACCTCCAGAGAGTTTGAAATTCTGTCAGTACTCTCTCTGTACTCACAGTACACAGTACTCACCCTACTGTGCTGTAGAACCCTAGAACTTACTTGTCACATTTAACTTTGTTTCATACTTGACAATCAGTCTCTCTCTAGTTTCTCTCCCTTTCTCAAAGTATCATTCTAAAAACCTTGCAGGTTCGTAATTATTTTTATAACAAAATTATTTTATAATATTTAGACATTATTTGCCTTTTGCACTTTGATAATCTAATGAGTATACAAGAGTGTTTTCCAGGGGCTACAGAACATGTAATAGCACAGAAGATTGAGTGGAAAAGCAAAAGTATGAATCCAGATGTCTTTTATTTAGCCAGACATTAAAAGGGCTTGCAAAATGTTTCAAAATTCCACTCTTCTAATTTCCAAAAGAAAGAAAATCAGGATGTCGAAGAAGACATATTTGCATCCCATATTATTGTAGTACTCTTCACAATAGTCAAGAAAGGGAATTAAATTAGGTATCCATCAAGAAAAAGAAAAAGTGGTATACAGGCATGATGGAATATTATTGCACTCTAAAAAGAATGAAATTCTGTTATTTACAGTATCGTGGTTGAGCCTGAAGGACATTATGTTAAGTGAAATAAGCCAGGCACAGGAAGACAAATACCACACGTTGCACTCTTCTTTTTTAAACTTACATTTCCATACCACTTTTCCCACAGAATTTTATGCTACTGCAGTATATTTTTATAGTTTTAAGTCTTTTATTGATCTCCCTGTCATACTTCCCTGCCACTAAATTATTATATAAATTAAAATTTAATTTTTAAAAAGCCCTGTGACCATAAGGCTTTATATGTTAAATTTTTCTGGCTGAGCTATCGTTGCAATTATTAGCAATATACATTTGACCAGGGCAATATACATTATAAATTTTGGGAAATATTACACATAAAAAACAAAAGGAGAAATGCATCTTTGAAGACAGTGATTTCTATTTTTAATTAGTTTGTAGATCTGTGAACAAATATTATTTACTGCTAGAATGAGTGAACATTTGAATTTTATTTTTATACACATAAAAACATAGTGTTTATGCATGTCACATAAATAAGTGGATGGGAATGGAAGTAGTTGTGCAGCAGTGCTCTTCTTTGAACTCCTTCTGAGTAATTTACCAAAACTCATAAACAAATAAAATATGAAGAAAAAATTTAATGGTTAATCAGCTGACGATTCAGTCAGATCTTCATTTAGTTTTGTTGAAAACAAAGAATTGGAAATCACTTGACTCACAGAAGGATTTGCTAACCACTGATTAAAATCTTTCCTTTTCTCAACCCCTACATCATATTTCAAGTTGTTCCTTTGTCATTTAGGGGCCACTGAGCCACAGTACACTTGGTAAGAGAATGAAGAGTTTTCCTCTGCGGTGCAGAGAGAGTGCGAGACTGGCAACATGGAAGACTTCCACCACAGGCTGGTTCTGAAGTCGGTTTTTAAGAAAAGTACTTTGGAAGTACATTTGCCAATGAATCCCATGAAAAGTTCTGACTTCCTTTGGGGCACACTAACACTAGTTTGAAGTCTGTCACATTAACACCAAGCTCCTGAACAACTGTGAGGTTTCTCCTCTAATTTAGGAGTCTTTAACATAACCTTTAATTATAAGTAGGTGCTTAATAAAGACAAAGAAATATTTGCAGAGGAGGCAGACTTTGGCATCAGTTTATTTGTCTCAGGAATCTTCTGTGTACCTTATTTTCCTTAATAAAAATGGAGAAAGATAGCAATATTCCAAAATATTGGGAGGGCTGCACAGATTACTAAATAGTCTGAAATGTCTAGAAAGAATGACAAAAGGCATGTGAGGTCTCAAATGTCCACCAGCTTATCTCATAGAGTGAGTTTCCAGTTATTTTGAAAAGCATAGATTTCCTGTCACTGGGCATATTTGAAGGAAGGAAAAAAAAAACCTGAACAAAATATAAAAAATATAGGTGAGTTTGAGAGTGACTTTTAAAGAATTCCAGCCATATTTATTCCTTGTGCTCTTGTACTTCTTCTGCTAGCCAAGGTGGCAGAGAATTCTTTTTTCTTTTTTTTTTTTAAATGACACAATCGAGTGGTACAGAAGCCTGGGAGGAAATATTACCCAAGGTCGGAAGTGGCCTCTTCTGGGCTGTCCTTGAATCTGTTGGGATATTTCACTCACTAGATGAATGTTCCTTACAGTTTTCTTTTCTTTGTTCAAACAATAATTTTCCAAGGGCAATAATTGTGGCAAAATTCTTGATTTTAGAAAGGTTAAGGAACTCAACTATTCTTCAGATTTACAGCATAAGAGTTTATAAAGCCATAGAAAAGGCTGAATTCAGGAAATTCAAGTAGAAATCCTAATTCTTCCTACATTTCCATTGGTTATCTATTTTTCTCTTGAATTGTTTAAATCTACTTTGTTCTTTGATTAACACTAGCTAGAAATAGAACTAATTTCTTAGTATTAGATGATATATATTAGATTTTTTTGTCCCTTCTATAAGTAAACAAAAATATGTAGATTCACGTTGAGTGCCTTAGTGTCTAGAATAACTCTTCCCAGAAGTATTGTATATTATTTTTTTAGAGTTTAGATTCAGATGACCTGATATTGACTGTGATTTTAGATAAGCCATTTAATTATATTGAGCTTTTGTTTACTTATCAATAAAATAGTGGAAATAATTTCCTCTCTAACATTATCCCACATATGTGAAAAACATATAAATGTAGACAGTCAGTATAAACACATACTCTCAAAAATATAGACCAATAAAATTAATTCTCTTTTATCTGCTCTTATAATTCAACTTTTGTAAGGAAGGAAAGAATACAAAAGATTTTAAAAGTTAAGTCTTATTTACAAAGAACAATTGACATATAATACCTGTAAATATATTATTTATTTCTGCTTTAAATAATGAATAAACTAGGAAAAATATGAGTTTGGTTGAACATACACATAATTTTATCAATGTGGTATCTGCAGAGAAATAATTCACTTAATCAAAATATCACAATCCTTAATTTCACAGTTAAACCCACATGCAGATTGTAGAATTATGTTACAGAATGTTTTGATAGAATGTGTTGAATATAAAAATAATCCAATGCAATTTCCATTTAGCACATTGTGCAAAACTCATTTTTCAATGTGATCAACAAGTTTATAATCTTTCTTATAAGGTGCTTTGTATTCAAAGTGCTCTATAATATTGAGGATGAAATCATAGCGCTCCAGAGAAATGTAGCTTGGTAATGAATGAAACTAAATGTAAAGTAGATGAAATCCACTCATAGAACACCAGGCAAATGAAGGAGCCCTATGATGTGCAGGGAGAGGTAAATACTCATCTTCAATAGGGGGTGGGTAGACGAATCCGTGTATACTCTAATACGATCATAATAAGACCAAACTTTAGGTTGAATTCATCACTTTTATGGTTATTACCAATTCTTAGAGAAAGCAATAAAAAGATACAGAGAGAAAGAAAAAGAGAGACAGGGAGACAAAGCAGAAAGTTCACAATGCTCCTGCAATCCATTTTCTGAGATTAATCCTCGGTACAACCAATAGCCCATGATAGAGGTTTCAGACTTTGTTATCCATCAGAATTACCAGAGGATTTTTTAAAAATTCCACCCACAATTCTAACTTAGTAGGTATGAGAAAAAGCCAGGAACAAATTCCAGGTGATGTCAATACTGTTCATGATTAAAGAACAAATCCATTATCTAATCCATTTGGTTCAGCATATTTTTGATTTTTGAATGACTTTGCCATTAATTAAAGTGAAAAATACCTGTAACAATATCATGCCTAGTCCCTAGGGGCATAGAGTAGAAGGCAACCAATGGATTATATGGTTTTGAGCAGCAATTCTTAACTTTAGTTCCATGTAGAATCAAAGGGAAAGATTTTTGTTGTTGTTGTTAGTTCTTTTCTCTTTTTTGGGGAGAGGAGGGATATGGGGATTGAACTCAGGGGCACTCAACAACTGAGCCACATCCCCAGCCCTATTTTGTATCTTATTTAGAGACAAGGTCTCACTGAGTTGCTTAGGGGCTCGCTTTTGCTGAGGCTGGCTTTGAACTTGAGATCCTCCTAACTCAGCCTCTCGAGCAGCATTCTGTGCCCAACTTCATTTTTTTTTTAATACTGATATGTAGGTCCATTTAAAATGAACTCAATCTGATGCTCTGGTGGGGCCAAGGGTACAGACATTTATGAAAAGTGCCCCACGAAAGACTAATATGTCTTCCAGTTGGAGAATCACTGCTTTGGGACATCCTCTTTCACCTCCTCTCCTGCAGAAAAGGTGGCCCAACATGTGTGCTATGTAGATGTCTTGGAGGAAATTGAAACCCCTGGGGACATGCTGATGCTCAAGTAGAAAATAATACCAGGTGGTGTTAATTTAGAAAGCAATAGTGAACTGTTGATCTCTTATAAACTACCCAGAAGAGCTGGCAGGTTTGAAATAACAGAACTTGGGAAGATGAGCAGCACACTAATTTTATTCAAGTTTCTTTTTCACTGAATGACATCAAGTCTAGAATGTCAGCATATGTGCTGATGGACCACATCTACCTGCTGTAATTATTATATTTATTCCACTTATCTAAATTATTCAGAATTTTGATTTAAACTTGAGCAGACCCATAAATGAGGCCACCGGGATAAAATGCTGCAAGCTACCATTTTACTAGTAGCTACCCGAGAAAGCAGAACTACAGAAACACATGCAAAAACAAAGGGCATTTTGAAATAAGATTTGCACTTTACTTGACTGGCATAAATAGAAAGAATGAATATTTCCGAGTGTAAATGAATAGACATGCTTGGAATCCTTTTCAGGAAGGACTCGGAGGCTTGGAGCGATCTTTAGTCTGGAGTATACATAGAAGGTCCTTTAGAGCTCATTTTCACAGCCTGTGTCATTAAAGTACCAAGGTATAGATTTTAAATAAAACCCCTGTGTATAAAACTAGGACTAATATTTGAATGTAAAATAAAAAAAAAAAAGAATTTAAACAAACCCCAGGCATCAGGTACGGGCCTTCCAGTGATCTGTGGTAAAAGTCAAACATTTGAAACCATCAATCTGATTTGAATGTAGACACATTATCTGTACAGAATTTATAATAGCTTCTCAGTTTTCTATTTGGAACCACTACCTCTATGGGGTTCTTGCAGATCTGCTTGAGCTATTCTGAAAGTGATTACTGAGGTCACTGACAGACTAGGAACCATCTCAGACAAGCACAGTGTTTAAAGAAAAAAAAAAATAGAGTCTTGGTGAGATGCTTGGGTGAATCTTTCTCCAGCCTTTATGTCTTCCAGAAGAAATCTTTAAAATACCCTGAAAAATAACAAAAAGGATAGTAATATTATGAATAGAATCACTCAAAATAGGAGACATCAAGGAAATACCAGGAGACAGCAAAAAAGTAAATTTTTGTCTTTCACTTCACTCTTCCATACTTACATAGTGAAGTATTATATATTAAGTAAATATATAATATTTATATTTTATATATGTAAAATTATATATGCATATATAAAATTTTATAATACTGCAGAAATGAAGGCAGAGAGCCCATTCAAAAGCACTTGATCACTGACAATCTGCATTCCATCCTTTAAAACACTAAAATGGAATGAATTCTAGAGAGTTTGATTCTCTGCTTCTATGTCTGGACTTGGAGACACATTCTCCTGTGTTTCAACTTTAGGGCTCTGTCAGAGAGACACAGATCTCCTGCTTCAGGGAGATGTGTTTGCAAGAACAGAATAGGACTTGAGTAGGAAAGGTGACTGGAGGGGGATTCTGTGTGTGCTTTGGCCCCTCCTCCACCTCCCCTAGCCACCCTCCTCCAACTCCCCTAGCCACCCTCCTGCTGGCTGGGGCTCAGTACCACAGGGGGGAAGCCTGTGTGTGTATGTGTGCACAGCAAACACCAATAAAGGGACCAGCCAGCCCCAAGGAGAGGAGGACCACGGGCAGGATTTCTATTCCATCCGCAAACAGATCAGACTTAAACTCACCGTCTGCCACAAAATCTCCTAGTCCTTCACGTTGTTCAGGGGAACATCTGCACTCTCACTTTCTCTTTGAACCATATGCTCTTGTTCCTCTTGGGTTCCAGAGAATTCAGGCTTCACGGAAAGTGTTGCCACTGCCTCTAGACTCCCTCCGCTCAACTCTACCTCCCTCTCCTGTGATGATCCTTGTCTGAATTCTTCAGCTGTTCCTGACTCTTGCCTCCCATCAATGCTCCCTGCTCCTTCACCCTCTCCCAGCGACCTCACACCCTGAGTGGCCTCCACTTCCCCTCCCTCTTGACCCTGTCCTAGCCGCTGGCCCTGCCCCTCCAGATGGAAAGTTTCCTGGAGAACTCCCTCCCCAGGCTCTGCTGCTGATGTCACTGTCACCTCTTCCCTGCTCAGCCCTGTTTCCTCGGCTGCCACCCTCTCTGCAGCTGCTGTTTTACCCAGTGCCTCATCCCCTCTGTGCCATGTTTCCTCCCAAGCAACATCTGAGAAGGAGGAGGCTCTATTTGCTACTGTTTTCCCCTTAGCTGTCTTTGAATCTGCCAACACCTCCCTCCTCTCTGCTGCTCCTCCTCCTGGATATAGATCTTCCTCAGCCAGGACTGCTCCTCCTCTTGTCGCCCCATCCCCCTCTGTGTTGCTGTCCTTTATCACCCTTGTCACTCTTGTCCCCAGAGTGTGCTCTTCCTCCTCCTCCTCCTCTGGGTCCCCACCCACCGCTTCTTCACTAAACTTTTCCACTATCATGGAATCTCCCTCAGGAACATCTTCCTCGGTCATCATCATGACCCCTGTTCCTCCTGGCCCCTGAAAAGGTTCTTCTTCGTCCCTTGTCTGCATTCCTGCAAGGCAATCTGGGTCCTGGGTTGCACACTTTGCAGCCTCTAATGTGCCCTCTCCATCATGGTGGGGTCCCTGCCCCTGCTCTGGTAGAGCCACATTCTGCTGGCCCAGCAGCCCTGCTCTGTCCCTGTGCTCTGTGTCGCTAGCTTCATTCAAGCTTTCCCCTCTTTCTTCTTTCCTCAGAGCTGTTATTTTCTCCAGTGACTTTTCAAATCCATGTGTTACTTCAAACAAGGTCACCTGTCTTTCTTTCAGTGAATCTTCTAGAAGCCCTGAATCTTGAGTCATTTCAGTTGTCTCTGTGGGTTCTGCATCCTCAGCATCCGATTCTATTTCATTTTCAGGCTCTTTGGTCTGTTCCTCAGATCTCTCTTCCTTCACTGCTTCCCCCTCTTCCCCTTTATGTTTTCGCTCCTCTTCTAAAGTGTCTTCATCCTTAGCTGCAATTGACCTTGTCACCTCTTCTCTCTCAGATCCAATCTCCCTCAGAGGTGTTCCGGGGCTCTCCGCTTTCCTCCCTTCTCCTGCTGCCTCTGACTCTTCTGGTAATGGTTCCTTCGGTTCCTTCCTGTCTTCCTTATCATCTTTTGCCTCACTCCCAGTCTCCGCCCTGGCTGCACCTTCCTCACAGAGTTCTTCTGGGCTGCCCTCTGAAAGCCCCATCTGCCTTGCCCCTGCCTCTCCAGTGGAGATGCTCAAGGTGGGTTCTGTTTCCAGAACCTCCTTCCTTTCTTTGCCTGGTTCCTTTCCCCCAACTATTGCCTCTTGTGAACCATCCTCTCTCTCAGATGCTGTGTCTTCAATGGGTCCCATGTCCTCCTGCTCTGTGAGTGCTTCCTCTTCACTCGCGTCCACATCTGGCTTTGGAGGCCCTGCCTCACTCAAAGCCACCCCTCTGTCAGCCACTTCCATCTTTGGAGTTGTTGGTGGCTCTCTCAGGGCAGCTGCCTCCTGAATATGCTCTGTGCTCAGGGCTGTGGTGTTTGTAAGCACTCCCCCCTCCATATCCTGCTCCCCTTCAGAACCTGCCTGCTCTGTCCCAAGTACAGTTTGCCTCAGGGACTGCTCTTGAGGAACCTCTCCTTCACTCAGACCCACAGAATCTCTTCCTGCTGCTATTCCTGTGGCTTTGAACCCTTCTGGGCCCTGCCTTCCATCCCCTTCTGCTTCCTCCTCTGCCCAACTTGCCATGCACAGAGGCACCTTGCTGTTCTCTGTGGGTTGCTCTGCAAGTGCTAGAGGCCCTGCTGTTGTTTGCCACGCCCCCAGGGGAGCCTCCTTAATGCCCACCCCATCCCTGAGCTCTGCATCCTGGTGTTGGGGAGCAGCAGTAACTTCCTCCCCTGCTTCTTTCTTCTGCAGTGTGACCTGCTCAGATTCCTTCTCCGAGTGGAAGGGTGCCCTTTCCTCCACTATAAAATTCCTATTGGGTGCTATAAAAATAAGGGTAGAAAACAAGGTTACTTTAATCAAAGTGAACAAAGGAGAAGGTAATATATATAAACTTACATAATATTTAGAAGAGATTTAATATGTTACCAAGGAGATTTATATTATGTATAAAACTTGTCCTCAGTTGGTTCTATGATGCCACGGAGTATAATATGTACAATGTTTTAATAATGGCCTTTCATTATAAAAAGAAATGCTTTCAAATTTAATGGATACATTGATATTAAAGAAAAAATGAACATCAGAAATGCTGAAAATAAGCAAACAAAAAGCTTTCATGTCCCTATGTTTTAGAATCAGTAAATCCTCTCTCAAACCCCCTAATTTTACTTGAAATATTGACTTACAGAAAATTTTTTAAAATAAGAAAAAACAGCATTCTATTTTCTTAAAAATCACCATTTCTTATAGCACCATAATGTAGCATAATATGACTGCCTTCTGACTACATTTCTGCTGTGTGGGTATATAGCAACACAGTCATGACATAGAAACGGTAATCATAGCACATAATACTTTAAGTATTTTAAGATACTATATCAAAAAAATCTTGTAGCTCAAAGTCAGGTTTTGGGTTTCTTGTTTTGTTTTGTTTACTAAAGACACCAATTTGTACTATAGGTCAGGATACCTACCATCTATGTTCAGAAATTGATTTGTCTTTGGCAAAATAGAATCACAGAGCAAGAGAAGACTTTGTATTCGGGCATAATTTTCTACATAAATAACTTTCTTGAAGTATTTCATAAGTGCTCATCCATGATTCCCTGGCCAATTGACATGTATTCACTATTACATTTCAAAAAATATTAGGTTTGCTACATTCTCAAAAAGGCTTGAAATATGGGCTGGGGATGTAGCTCCATTGTAGAGTGCTTGCTTTGCATGCCCAAGGCCCTGGGTTTGATCCTCAGCACCACAAAAAAAAAAAGAAAGAAAGAAAAAAGCCTCAAATAGATTTTATTATTAAACAAAAACACATTTTTTGAATGATGCATGCAAAATAAGTAAATTCATGTCATGCCAAATACCCAAAACTTAAATTTTTCAGATGAAGAATAGTATTGATGATGGTAGAAGCTTCAAAAATTGTCTTCTTAATACTTTTTTTTTTCATCTAAACTTTTTCAATTATAAAAGACCCTGGGTTAGATGCTGTCAAATAAGTTACCATATCTGGGTGTCAATCTCTAACAATCCTGTATACTCATGAAGTCAGCAAGTGTACCTTTGTTTTCTCACTTGCTTACCTGGCTGGCTCTCTTACCGGCAACACCAATATGCACAATTCAACAGAAATTAAATGCCTTTTTCTGATTTCTTGTCTTTTCTTACACTCCATTCAAGACTGTTGCCACCCTATTATTTCTCCTAATCCAAAACATGGCTATCTTTGCTGCATTCCCTCAGTCTCTTGCCAGCTGCTATGACAGACTATTTTGAGGTAAGGTAATCATAACTGATATGACATTTCCCTTAATAATATATTTGGAAAGTAACTTGAGTCTTATTTAAGAAGAATAAAATAGAAATTTCAGGTTTATCCATGGGTCTGAGGTTGACTTTTATGGTGGTCCTCTGTGCATAACAGCAATTATTTCTAAATTGTACCTAAAAGCTCCCAAAGGGAAATGTAATGTGGACCCAAATTATATACTCAGAGAACATGTAGCAAGTTCATCTGAGAATATGGTCCATTTTATTTCATTACAGATTATTACTACATTGGAAACAAAACTACATTGAAACAATGAGAAACTACAATGTGTGTCAAGTCTCTTTAATGTTATATCTTGCTGTTCAAATTCCTGCATGAAAATATCATTAAAAAGTCAGTTACGAAAAAGTTTAAAATATTCTGTTTTTTGAGAGTTGGCCTCTAAATTTATGGATTAATTAAAGAGCATTCAGGAAAACAAGGGAATAAAATTGCCTAGTCACATGTAATAATACACTGTGTCTAAATTCTGAGGGAGAGAGCACCAGTGAATCCAGCTGAGCTATTATGTGAATGTACACACTACAGGGAAGTCGTGCATGACATTCCTGAGGCAAGGGAAAGAGAGTAATTGAAGGCTTTCTAAGAAATATCAGTATAAAAACATGACACACGTTTTTTGAAACTTCATGAGCTTTTGGAAAAAAAAAATTAGTATAAGAGAGCAAGCACTATTCATAAACTGGCAATTTGTTTTAATGGAGTGTATGTGGCAATCAGACCTGAGTGAGGATGCCAGTTCTCCACTTACTGGCTGTATGAACTCGGGAAACAATACCTCTCTAGTCCTTCATTTTTATATCATTAAAATGGGAATTGTCATGATTGGCTCACAGAATTATCTTTATAGCAAATAAGAGAGTTTCTATAAAATGCTCAGGACAGTGCCAACACACAGAAAACCCTACCAAATCATTCCTCCAAACCCTTTCCCCCTACATCTCACAATTAATTGATTTTCTTGCTTGAATTAGACTTGATCAATAACTACTATGGCTGCATTGAAAAAGGAATGATTGAGGAGCGTACCGGAATTCCTTTATCAGAATGTGCACTGCAAAAGCTCCAGGGTCCGCTCCTGTAACACACTGCTTATTCAAATGCCACCTGGCCCTCTTCATGTTGTGCCAGGGAAATGGATCTCACCTTGTGTCTTCTACCAGCATCCACGAAACTGTGGCTAGCTAAGCTATTTGCTTGGAAGTAGGGTAAAATATCAAATGTGTTTGATAACAAAAATGGGAAGTGGGATAATGTAATCATATGATGAATTAAAATAATAACCCCTATATGCGTATACATATGACATTCCTGAGGCAAGGGAAATATATATGTATATATATACACACACACACACATATATTCCAATCAGAACCTATAAAAAGCCATTCACAAAATATAAGAAGGACTGGTGTTAAGGACAAGGAATCTGACCAAATATCTATGAGTCATGGTCTGTTAAATAAATCTCTCATTGGTAATCTTGTAGTTAGAATACTCATTATGAAGAGACAGGTCACATGTGGATGGCATTAAGTTTTTTCCTAATTGAAAGAAAGAAAGAAAGAAAGAAAAGAAAGAAAGAAAGAAAGAAAGAAAGAAAGAAAGAAAGAAAGAAAGAAAGAAAGAGAATTTTAAATGAATCATTGTGAAATGTGATGTGCCTTGCCTCTTGGTGTCTCCAACTGGGTCAGTTAAGGAAAATTCATCTACTTGGTCAACTACATGGAAACGGCTATAAAATAAGATTTCATCTGAAAATCCCTATCAGAATTTTAGAACCCAAAGTTCTTTTTAAAAAATTGTTAGATATCAATGTATTTAAAAAAATAGCAACATTCATAGCTGATACCAGTTTTAAACTCCCCTATCGGTCTCTGAACCACATCCTGCAATCATATTCATTAGATGAAAAGAAAAAAAAAAGTGGCCGAGGAAGAAATAAGAACAGGAAGATGAAAAATGAAAACGATCCATCTTTTGCAGAAGATTTCTGAAGGTCTTTCCTAGGTAATGATGTGTCCTTACCTCCACCTGTGCCAATCTCCAGCTTCCACGTGGGCTTCCCCCCCTCATCTGTGCTGCTAACATCAGACACGGCGTCATAGTGGCAGTGGCAGCCCGGTGCCAAGGCTTCACTTATTATCTGTCCAACTGATTGGAGATCATATAAAATATCAAAAGGTTTAAAAGCAGGTCATGGGAACATTGCTGAGTTATTTCACATCATTCAAGCAAGTGGGGTTGATTTAAATGCATTCACATTAAAATGTGACCTTGCCTTTAAAATCTATGAAGATTAAACTACTCCCATGCTATGATTTCAAAAGAGGAAACACAATGCATAAAAGAAGATCGTGAAGTAAAGAGACACATGCAAAGAAATACCTGTATTGAAAAAGACAACAGCCAGAAGCAGTGACCTTTTGCCAAATGCACATGCAATGAAATGATTGGAAAAGCAATTTGATTGCCTTTTATTTTCTAGAAACGTATGTTAGAAACGTATGTTATGGCTTTTATGACACCAGTCATCGCCACTCTTTTACAATTCTAAAACTTCCAGAGCTGACTACACTACGAGCATTTCATTCATTAGTATATTTTAGTGATTTGACCCCGCAATACTCACTCCATATGGACAGAAGCAATAAAAAGCTATTACATGATGCCTATAAATTTAATAGAAAAAAAGACACTGTGTTATCTATAGCTGGTTGTTAGCATGGACTTCACGTCCATAGAGACCTAGTTCCAGTTACATATTTCATACTAACTGTACCATCTTGGACAAGTTTTTGGCCTAAGTCTCAGTTTATCCATCCTTCAAAAAGAAATAAGCAAGTCGATGGTTATTGGGAGGATAAATGAAGTAATGTCTGTAGAGAATGCTCATCTTCTACTTATTTTCAATTGTCTATGCACTTGATAAATACTAGCTGTGATGATGATGGTGGTGGTGGTAATGATGATGGTGGTGATGAAGATGGTGACAGTGGTGAGCATTCATCATAAGTATTATTAACTAGTGTGATTTATGCAAAACTGTCAAGTCAGGTAAGTTTGTGCTTAGTTTCTGACAATTCCCTTTCTACCTCCCTTGCTGTCATCTGATGATCCATGTATCTAAATCCCCTGTATCTACTGTCATGCCACCTTCTGGTTAAGAAAAGTTCACTCCAGTAACACTAGATCTAGATCTGCCTTCTGGGGTAGAAACATTTCTTCAAAACTCACTCCTCCCTCCCTTCCTTTCTCCCATCTTCCCGCCTGGCTGCCTTTGTTTTCCTGTGATATTATGACACAACTAAGGACTATGCTTTGAGAGAAACAGAACTAGAATGTCATCTCTTGCTTAAAGTGAATAACTAAGACATAATGACTTACTAATCTCTCTGTTTGGAAACAAATAGTGAGATATCAGCCTCAAGTAGGTTTTAGTGGGGGAACATTAACTAACTCTATTACTCTCAAGACAAACATGGAAATGAAAAGAGGAACATTATCTAGTTCAAATATATTCTCTTTTTAAATTTTTGAATATCACTTTCCTAATTCATTCAATAGACCAAATGAAAAAAAAATATCCTTATAATACTGTAGTTCAAAGATGACATCAACTCGTGGCAATTGTTACAGATGGATTTGTTTTCAAGTCCATTTTTATTTCAGGGAGTTTATAAACATAGCACATATATAATTCACACTATAATAATGTGAATACCACATATCTAAAAAGTCTAAATAAGTAGTGGTTTTGTTTTTTGCATATAAATTCATTCTGCTGACTGAGCGATGGAAATCACAAGGATGGTAGGACCAGGGGAGGGGAGTCAGACTTAGTAGCAATTATATGAAGTGTTGCCAACAAAACATCTATGTCTTTTCCAAGTAGTCTACAGGCTGTAAAAAATATGACTTGAAATAATAATAATAAACAATAATTAAGCAGTTAGCAGCTATTGAACCAAAAGACTATTCTAAGAAGCCAAACAGTAGTACTAGCATAAGCTAAAAATGACAACTCACTCGGAATGGACAGTGCCGCTTCTTAACTGCTTCGGCACTGTAATCACCACTTCCCACATCTGCTGGTTCGCCCTGGAGGCTTAGGCTTTGGAAGTAGATGACAGCCTGTATAGTTAGGTGTTGCCGATTTCAGGTTTAGCGAGAATGGGACTCTGGCCTAAGTATCAAGGACTTCCTAGGTGTTAGACCAGAAAAGGCCTCACTTGGACATTTTTCTCAGATGTTCTTCTGAAACTGAAACTTAAAAGCAAGAACTTGGCCAGTGTCTAACCTCAACTCTTTTCCACCCCTAGGAATAGAGGACTGTGCACGCTGAGACTCCTGTGTCAGCAATGTGACTTATCACTTTGTTCCCTCCATCTGTTTAGCCCTTCATCTCTTAAGGCTCCTGTCCTTTACTGCTCTATAAAGGTGTCCACTAAAGGCAAAGGTAATTGTCAGTTCTCACAGCGTTAGCAAAATGGAATAGTCTCATGCAGAGAATTTCTTAGAAATGCACCTTTTCCACTCAAATGATGTGGGATTCTTTAAGATACTGTACAAAATGCCAAAATATATGTTAGCCTTTCTATTGTGAAAACGAATATATTTCAGAATAATATATATATTGTATTTTTCCTAAATATGAAAATAACATATATTCCTTATTTAAAGCTTGAAAAGACAAAGAAGTACAAAGAAGGAAACAAAAATTATCCATGGTTCTGCCACTCAGAGATAACAACTAGTAAACATTTGGATGGATTTTCAAGTATTTTTTACTGAACTCTTACTGTAGTTAGCATTTTATATTCCATGTTTTTCATTTAGCATTGTATTTTATTCTTTTATATCAATAAGTAAAAAGATTATTTAATAACAAATAGGATGTTCTAATAAAGTCCTACTAAATTTAGTTCACTAAAAATTGCCTCTTGTTGAATATTGAGTTGTTTTCATTAATTTGTTTTGATACAGCTATTTAAAATACTTTGAATCATTGGTATACATATTTTTGACCATTCCCTTAGGATACATTATTAGATTTTGAATTCCTGGGTCAAAAAGAACCTTTTAGAAATGTTTGATAAGTTTTTAAATATGTTTTTAAAAAGAAATACCAATTAATTATTTTACCTGTAAATCATCAAGAGAACTATTTCCCTACATAATTGCCAACAATTCCATAATTTTTGAAGATTCTTTTAGTATTTGATAAAAATTAAAAAGATATTTCAATATTAGTAGGTTAGCTTCCTTTTGTGAATTTCCTGCTACATGCTGGAAATTATGTTCTTCTGGTAGAGTGGTTGCTTATTTCTTCTTGATTTGTAAGAACTCTTTATGTATCATGTATATCAGCCCTTTGTCATATAGATGTTGGAAAACTCTCTTTATATTTTCACTTTTCTTTTGCTATAGTTTTGTTGCTGCTGCTGTTATAAAGAATTTTATATCACTCAATACTATTTCTTTCAAGTCAGCTTTAACATTATCTTTAGGATTCTGATACATTCTATATTCAGTTTAGAATTTAATCTCATAAAATTATCAGCATCTTTATATTTGATTTTCTATTCAAATACTTGGATTGACTTCTCATTTATCCCACTTTCTTATACACTCCATATCTGTTATACCTTCCCTTCTGATACATCCCTGGAAGTATGACTATATGTATTGCTCATTTATTATTCTTTATTAAGTATTTTTTTGGTAATTGTTATATTTTGAGTTATTTGAGGAAATAGTTTGAAATTGATCACCATATAAAAACCATTTGTTGTTTCTAATAACTGTATAATTAATAATCTAGGGAGTTGTATTAATCTCTTAGACACAAAAATTATTTAGAGTACTGCTTTTATACCTACAATTGGGGTGGTTTAGTTAATTATATTTTGTGAATAATTTCTTGATTTATTATATGTATCATCACATGTGGATTCAACAACTTCTACTCTGTGATGCTGGAAAGAAAGACACATAGCAAATAATAATTATCTGATAAACTGACCTTCTAAATTATAAAATTATTACAATTATTTTTATGTCCTTATTTATTATGAAAAGTACTAATTATGTTCATACAAAAATGAGAGCTGTTATTCTTGTATTTTCCTTTGAAAGAGTGTGATTTGCTTCTTGGATGCTCTCAAATTCCAGTTGGATGCATATCTTTCTCAGAAGCATTAAGCTGAAGTAGTTACCGATTCCAATTTAGTGACCCAAGAGCTAGAGGGGAAAGGAAAGGAAGGGGGGCGGTTTGGAGTCCTCTTGGCAGAATTGTAATTCCATTGTTAATGACTTTAGGATTGCAGAAGCTGCCAGCCAGACCCCCAATCTGGCGCTGCCATCTTTGGGTGGGAAGAGTCTCTGCTACTTCAGGGAGAGACCTCTACCTCTGAGGGTCTCCATTTGCTGTTTGGTGTTGCCTCCCACAGTTTCCCTGAGGGTTGGCAATGCTGAAGAATTCTGTGATGTCTCAGGAACATCTTTCTGCTTTCCCAACAGCTTCTAACTTCTACTCTCTAACTTAAGGTCTAAGATTATCTCTTTTTTTAAGTCCATGAGGCTATGCCTCTTTCTCACGGGAGATAAACTAAAGATAGCACCTGACATCTTTTTACTAATTTGCCCTCACGTTGCAATTATTTTTAATTATGTGGTTCCTGAACAGTAATTTCCCCAGATTCAAGAGCAAACTTTTTCACCTTTTAAAAAATCTTTTAAATTGACAATTTTTTTTGTATTTTTTTTCCTCTTTCAAATAGAACAGAAGGAAGGAGACCTCAGACATCTGAGCTCAACTACTATTTCACAGAATTTTTCTGATTAACATTCTTAAAGGTTGACTTTTAGCCTTCATATCACTGCTGCTATGTCAATGCAGAAACTTAGAAACACACTGCAATAATTTAAATGTTTTGGTGGAAAGAGACCAAATCACTACATCTTAAAATTTAGGCTATCATAAATGGGATATTAAAAGTTCACTTTTTAATATCTACTAGTCAAGATGAAAATAGAATTATTAGTCACAAATATTTACTAAATTTAAAAACAACAGTTATGATCATTTTTGAAGTTGTTTATTTACATGGTTTAAGTGGATAATTTGGAAACCTTCAGAGAGAAATTCTTTC